TTTTACAATGAGTACAATTGTTTGTATTCAATACTTTATTATTATTATAATTTTCCATATCTGCAGTCCACTTAGAATCTGACTTGGAAATCAATGTTTTCTTTATTGGTATTGATTGTTTTGAAATTCAAATGGCATTAACATGCCTGTGTTTCTATTTCAGTAATAAATATGGCTGTCAAGCCAGGATCTTGATGGTTTATTGTGGGTATTTTGTTTACATGAAGAAATCTGTGTTACAAGTTAAATAAAAATGCTAATAATGAATTATATTTTGAATTTAAATAGTTTTTGTCTTGCGTTTACATTAATTTTACATTTGAATAGCCAAAATTACAAGTTTCAGTCTTTTTAATGTGATTAATCGCGATTAATCGTGATTAATAAAAAAAAAGGTGTAATTAATTAGTTATTTTTTTAATCGATTGACAGCACTAATATAAATATAAATCCTCCTTCATGGTAATAGTCCACATCATCAGTTTTTCATCCTGTTGCTCTGAAATTGAGCAGTTCCTTGTCTCCTCTCTGCTCCGCTGTTCTCCTCTATTCTCCGGCCCATTATACCGCTGTGGTTTGTTCCCACTCTGTTGTGTCCTGTTACGGCAGGAAGTCATCAGCGGCTTCTCTCGCTCCATTCTTCACATTTCGGTCTGCAGCGAGTGTTTCACGCTGTTTCTCCCTCACGCTGGACCATTGTGAGCGAGTCCCGCATCTCTCCATCTCTCCGTCTCCCATTATCTGTGTGATGAGTGTCCCGCAGACACCTTCATACATCTGCTCCATCAGACCTGTGGAGAATCCGCATCTGTGCACCTCTGTCTGATTCATGGAGAGTTCAGCTGCAAAACCCTGCTCTTGTTTATTCAGCTCAGTGTCCTTATAGAGCCGTATGTGGATATTTTCCTTTCATTCAAGACTCTTTGCTTCTATTGGGCATGAAAAATAATGTCTGATATTCCTACACTCTGAATAAAACGCTGGGGTGTCGTAAGCCAATGTTGGGTCAAATATAGACAAACACAACTGCTGGGTTAAAAAGTGTCATTTATCATTTCATTAAAAAATTAACCCAATGTTGTTTTTTTTATATTTGACCCAACTCGTCTTGGCGGCTCCAGTGTACGACCGTACATTCAAATTGGCTGTTAATGCTAGCGATGTAGGGGCAGGCGCTGTGCTGTTGCAGGATGGGCTTGTTGGAGTTGAGCACCCAGTGTGCTACTTTTCAAAAAAATTCCAGAAACATCAAAAAGCATACTCCACAATTGAAAAAGAAGCTCTGGCGCTGGTTTTGGCCCTTAAGAATTTTGAAGTTTATATTGGATCTTCATCTCATCCAATAACAGTCTACACTGATCACGACCCTCTCATCTTTATTCATAGAATGCGTAATTCTAACCAACGCTTAATGAGATGGGCTTTGTTTGTCCAAGCCTTTAACTTGGACATGAAACATGTTGCCGGTAAAAATAATGTGCTAGCCGATGCAATGTCACGTATTACCATATGGTGATGGGTGGTGTTTATTGCATTTTTGTTTTGTTTACCAGTCACCATTTTGGGGGTGGAGGTGTTGCGTGTGGCGTTCACTCCTGCCCTTAATAATTACTTTTGTTTTGTTTTTTTTAAGATTTGTTTAATAGATTTTTTTGACAGTTAACAAACAAAGTAAAAAGAGACAATAACAGTACAAACAGAAAAAAAAAAATATATATATATATATATAACAGTACAACATTGATAAAAAATAAAGAAATAAATAAACCACACTATAACCCTCATATTGTGCGACACACAGTATATGACATGCATAAACACTATATGATGTGCATAAATCAATTTTCAAATTGAGCATATAAACAGGTCTGTACGAGACGTTGAGGTTGACAGCATGGTGTATTAAGTAAAATAAACAGTAATAATAAAATAAAATAAAATAAACAAACAGAAAAAAATAGAAAAGAAATTTTTTTTAAAAAGCGAGGAAAAAAGGGAAAATGTATTAAACTAAATAGGCTGGGGGGTGGCACATTCTAATAATTACTTTTAATTGATTTTGTTTGTCTTTTACCCTTTTCAGTTTTCTATTGGTTAATCTGGTGGCGTCAGGCCTTTAAAACGAACGGAAGCGGACTTCTACGGCCCCCTCATTCCTCCACGTCACCACAGTCTTTGACGGCTTTATTGTTGTGTTCTCCTTTATGCTTTCCTTTTGATATTTGTTTGGAGTGGGGAGCTCCAACCTGCTTTAGGTTTGTTTGGATGTTCTTTATTATGTTGTTGGGCTCCTCATCTCTTGTCAATTTGGATTGTTTTGTTGGTTATGTTATGTTAATAAATAATTTAGCTGGAGCACTTTGGCCGTTGTTTATTACGTTACGTTGTCTTTTGGTCACGAGTCTTATTTAAGTTAGGGACCGTAACAGGGTTATAACAAACTAGCTATTTTTAGAGTGATGAACTGAGGTTGTGTCCAGATCTAAATCTCCAGATATAGCTATATGTTTAGTTTAGTTTAGTTTAGTTTAGTTTAGTTTAGTTTAGTTTAGTTTAGTTTAGTTTAGTTTAGTTTATATAGCACATTTTTTACAACACAACGTTGCCCAAAGTGCTGAACACAATCAATACTAAAAATTAAATCTACATCACATAAATAACAATTAAAACATTCAATTCAATTCAATTCAGCTTTATTTGTATAGCGCTTTTACAATGTAAATTGTGTCAAAGCAGCTTCACATAAATGGTCATAGTAACTGGAACAGTGTGGTTCAGTAACTGGAACAGTGTGGTTCAGGTTTTAGTGTTTAAGTTCAGTTCAGTTCAGTTTAGCTCAGTTCAGTGTGATTTAATCATTACTGAGAGTTCAAACACTGAAGAGCCAATTCATCGATGCGTAGCTCTACCAATCCTGAACCATGCGAGGCAGTGGCGACAGCGGAGAGGGAAAAAAAACTTCACCTGATGGGAGTGAAGAAAAAAAACCTTGAGATAACCAGACTCAGTTGGGCACGACCATTTTAATTTCTCCGCTGGCCAAAAGTCTTGAGCAGAACTTCATTCGCCGTGGTTTAGGCTGGTGGTTCGCCGTGGTTTAACATAAGGCAAACCCCTCAACATTAAAAAGGCTCAAATACTAAGGAACAAAGATGGTGTTTCAAACGCTTTTTAAAAACAGGTAGAGTTGGAGCATGTCTGATGTGGGGCAGAAGCCCGTTCCAGAGTTTTGGGGCGACAACAGCAAAAGCCCGATCCTCACTTCGCTTACACCGGGACCTTGGTATAGATAGAGTAAATTCATCAGAAGACCTCAGTGACCTACCAGGATTGTATACATGTAGCAGGTCTGATAAGTAAGATGGTGCCAGATCGTTTAAGGATTTAAAAACAAAGATTAATAGTTTAAAATCAATCCGTGACCTAACAGGCAGCCAGCCCAGAGAGGAAAGAACTGGGGATATGTGCTCGAACTTGCGAGTCCCTGTCAGAAGTCTCGCAGCCACATTTTGTACTAATTGCAATCTATTTAGGGCATTTTGACTAATACCCACATACAGGGAATTGCAATAGTCAAGTCTTCCCAAAATAAAAGCATGGATCACCTTCTCAAGGTCATTAAAAGAGAGAAACGACTTTACTTTTGCCACAAGTCAAAATAATCTTACGTCAAAAGAAAAAACAAGATTATGCTTACCCCATTGGCAGATTATTTTGCTTGTTTTAAGGAAAAACTCACTTAATATTGGCATATTATTTCTCAAAACAAGACAGTATGTTTTGCTTGTCTAGAAAATGCTTCTTGATGTAAGAATTTTTAGATATTTAGACGAGAAACAAGACAAAAAATCTAAGCAAGAAAAGCATTTTTTGCAGTGTATTTTTCATGCAATGTCTGATACCGCACGGCAAATGAGAGAAAAAAAAAACTCAGCATTTCCCGGAAACTCCCCAAAAGTTTGGTTGTAGTGCTAACATGTTTACACTCGGTGTAATAGTTTGTTCGATACGAACAAACTGAATAAACAAAGAGCACTGCTCGCTCACTTACCAAATCTGTAGAGACAGGACAATCACCAGCAACTAGAGCCGCGTCTTTATTAAGAGGAGATTACAAGCGAATCTGGATCTCAGCGTTTGCAGATGAGAACAGCTCTCAGGTAAACAATAATCCTCCTTAGACACGTAAGTTATTGTTGTCGAGCGTCGCGTACACTGTTAATCCACACGTGACGCCAGCTGCGCTCTCACAGAAAATAAAAACAAAACTTAACTGCAGCAAACTATAAAAGCAACACTTCACGCTTGTTTTGCCAACACAACGTGGCGTCTCTGCCGTCTAAACACTGTGACAGTAATGAATATTAATGAAGTTGCACAATAGAGCGCGCTGATTGGTTTGAACCAAGCCTTACTCATGCATTAATGCATCACACTGTAAGACGTAATAAGACACACTCTGGCACAGACGTCCAGTCTGCACGCTGGAATACACGCTATTATGTCATGACCGTGACGCAGCTTCAAAAACTAGTTTCAAACTGGAAGTACGCATTTGCTTAAAATAACGCAAAAACAACCAATTTACACTTTTTAGTGAAATATAGGTGTCCAAATAGTGTTTTTAGCAGTGTGGGACACATATACGACTGTCAACAGCTCAAAAAATGTGTTTTGGTGTTTCGTGACCCTTTAAGCAGCATGAGAGGGGTTCTCGAGATCTACCTGAGCTCAAACTCCCTCCCATGAGAGCCCCGAGCTTGAGGATCTTATGAGCTCAGGGCTACCAGCATGCCAAACTAGCTTTATTATCAATCATCAGCTAAGTGTGAACTCTTAAAATGCACTATAAAAATACACAATACTTACTAACTTAAAGCGAACAATCTATGAGGATTTAACATTGCCTTTGAATCCCACCAGCCCTTTTTCTTTTCACCTTTTCCCCTTTTTTCTCTCTCATCTGCCTCTGCTCACCTGTGTCTATCTCTGTGTTTCAGGGCCCGGAGCGGTGTATGGCGGAGCGGCGTCGCTGAACGGTCGTTTATCAGGAGTGGGTCTGTGGTTCTGCCTCTCCATCTCCGTTCTGATGAAGGTCTAAAACTCTCCCGCTTCGGAAGGAGTCTTTAAAATACGAACCCATCACTGTGAACAAAAAGAAATTATGCATTAATCCAGGAGCCATCGCTACATTACTCGGTCATCCCTTCCTCTTCCCCGTTCACGCCCCGGTCGCTTCATCATCATCACCACCGCTTCATTTCCCGGTTTTTAACGTCCAGAAACTCGATGTGTGTGATGCAAAAAAAAAAAAAAAGAAAAAAAATGTGAGCGACGAGTTTGCGTGGCCTGATGTGCGTGCTGGACATGCCGGTCGTAAAAACGCCGAAGGGTTGGCGATGTTCGGGTGACCCTTTCGGGGAAAAAAAGCCGTTTCACCAGCGGGCCCTTTGGAGCCGAGAGATCTGAGCTGAACGGTGGTGCTTTCGTAGCTGCGGTGAATGAATGATGTCAAACCACTTGTTTTCGTTCCAGCAGGAGGGGCCGCTTCATCTCAGGCCACCTCGTTTGCGTTCGTTTGGGCTCTCGACCCAAAGCAAACATCCGACCCGCGTCCAGCCTTCATATTGTCCCCAGTCTGTCCATCACTCAGTGTAAATATATATGCAGTAGAGGCCACTCAAAAAACCACATCTCCCATCAGCCTCTCTGTTTCAGCGTTTCGGTATGGAGGATATCGCTGCCTTTAAGTCCCACCGGAATGCTCGTGTTTACCAAATGAGCATGCGTTCGCCTTTTATTAGTGTTCATGCACTTTTTGTTGCGCTTCTTGGGAAGTTAAAGCAAGTAGATCTAGTGTTGAACATTAAACACATTTGGACACTTTCTGGTTGTCGGATGTTAGTTAATATAAAATCGACTACAGTCGTAGATTCATTCATCGGCTAATAACCATGCAAAGTGATCACTGATTTTTAGCGTTTTAGTTTTACATTCGAACGTTAAACGAAAGCGTAAGTAGGAGCTTTCCGACAAGACTTGAAGGCAGCGGACGTTTCTGGCGTCTCCTGCCCTGAAACAGCTCATCGAACTTCTTGTTGCTTGTGGATAGCATGTACCGGTTAGAAATGTCCCTCTTGTGACCTCACTTCCTGCACCGACCCCGTTTTAACCCCCTGCACTGTGTACATTTTAATCTGCAAGGTTAACTGCTATTACTTTTTTGGTGTTAATAATGATTATAACGAAGATGATGATGATGATGATAATGATGATGATGTTAATAAGTATTTGAATAAATATGATAGTAATTCCATGTGAGATAAAAAAAAAAAATACGTCAGAGCTGACCGCAAGCCATGTGTGTGAAAATATTTTCTACTAAAAAAAAAATAAAAAATCACTGAATTCATCAAACAACAAACAAAAAATAAGAAAAAGTACAAAAAAAAACTACTTTTTGAAGTATTGTGCTCTGTTTTACCATGATTAACTTTTATAAAACGGAAGTAATTTGACCACGTCGACTCGTCCGTGAAAAAGAGAGCAATCAGTGAAATGCGAGGGCGCTTACACACTAGCCGGATCGGAAGCCGTAAGATCAGTTTTGAGCATGTGAATATTAAACAAATGGATGACAATGCTATATGAAGTGGAACGTCATTTTCCCAAATCGCTCCATGTTGCACCATTTCTAGCGTGTAGGCGCCCTAATATCATTTCACGTGTGTGCTGTATGTATTCAGATTTTTGTTTTCATGCTGTTGATGACTGTAATGTATGATATATTCTGCCGTAATGATGTAATGTCTGCCTCGATGACATAACCAAAACCAAACAGTATCCTGTGGTTGCATACACTATGTCAAAATGTTGCTGCAATGCTGCGTTCCATTCGAAGATGACTGGTTGTGTGATATTGCCAACTTCTTGCTATAAATGCATATATTTACTCCATGCATTGTCGCTAATTTCCAATCATAAATTACAACCTCTGCTTCATGCATTCCATCCAAACATGTGACATCATCAAATTTTGGCCATAAATTCATGCATTTACTTTTATGCATTCAACTCATTGTTGATTGGATAAGTGGAAATCTATCCGAAATAAATGTGTGCGTTCATTTCATGCATTCCTTTGGCGAAGTGATATTGACAACTTCTGGATAAAAAATGCATGCATTCTCTTCGTGCATTCTGTTCAGCAACAATTGACTTTGTGAATTTGACAACTTCTGTCCATAAATGAATGCATTTTCTTCATGCATTCTGTTAGCTAGTTTACTACAGTATGTTACATCATATGCTTACTTCATTTTGTCTGAAGACAAGAATCTTCCAGAAGTGAATGGATGCATTTAACCCTTTTAAGACTGTTGGCTGTATGCCGTTGCCAACATTTGCCCATAAATGCATGCATTTACTTCATGCAATGAGTTCAAAGATGACTCGCTACATAGTATTGCCCTCTTTCAAAGGTGACTGGCTGTAAACTTCTGCCCATAAGTGCTTGCATTAACATAATGCATTCTGTTGAAAGTGACTTGTTGATTCCATTCAATAACACATGGCTGTGTGATAATGGCAACTTCAGACCAATACTGCATGCAATTACTTGATGCAAAAGGACACATAAGGGAGCGAAACAGCAGTGTCTCCATTAGCATTTCCTCACAACCAGTTTCCAGGCTATGCAATGCTTGTATTAATGCACATTTGCTTAATTCATCAATTATATTTATCTAGTGTTTGTGAATTTCCGCACAAATTTCCACAACCCAGGCTCAATGGAAATAGTCCGCCAAAATGTTTGCGAAACCATAAATACGTTGCTTTAGGTATATTTCGTTTCATTTTTAAAATAACAAATCCACTAGAGGGCGCTGTCCACAGATTTGCAAATCTGAAATGCGTTACTGAAAAACATTTTTATTTGGTGTTTTTAAGGAATTTTTTTGCAAAACCTAAAATACGTTGCATCGGGTACATTTTGTTTCATGTTCAAGATAACAAATCCACTAGAGGGCGCCGTCTACAGTTTTGCAAATCTGAAATGCGTTAATGAAATACATTTTTATTTGGTAATTTTAAGGAATTTTTTTGCAAAACCTAAAATACGTTGCATCGGGTACATTTTGTTTCATGTTCAAGATAACAAATCCACTAGAGGGTGCTGTCTACAGTTTTGCAAATTCGAAATTTATTATTGAAATACATTTTTATTATTATTTTTAGGTTTTTTTTTCATATGCTGCTTTGAGTACATTTCATTGCACGTTTCAGATGACAAATCCACTAGAGGGCGCTGTCTAAAGTTTTGCGAATCTGAAATTCATTACTGTAATACATTTTTTATTGGTATTTTTAGGGTTTTTTTTGCAAAACCTAAAATGCATTGCTTTGAGTACATTTCATTGCACGTTTCAGATGACAAATCTACGGTTTTGCAAATCTGAAATGTGTTGCTGAAATACATTATTATTAGTTGTTGTTGTTTTGACCTTTATTTGATAGGACAGTATAGAGGGAGACAGAAATGAAAGGGAGGGATCAGCAAAAGACCTCGAGCCAGGAATCAGCTCACTGTAACAACAAGGCTATTGTCACTGACTTCTGAAACACATGTTGTTGTACGTTTCAGAAACACGTCCTTCTTGTACATGAAATAAGAAGGCAGGGTTTGTCGTAAGGATAACCTGAGTAACAAATTACTGACCTAAACTCTTTCCTAAAGCCAACCTATAGTGTTTTCAGAAGCAAACTTTAGAGAAAAGTGCACTGAGACCATGTAGTTTCACCTTGATTTTACATTCCTTTTATCTCTTTGGTGGAAGCATGCTTTGCTGGACTCGAACTTGAGTGCTCTGCAGCACCATACAAAGTGACAAATAAACTAATCAGGCCAGAAAAGTGGTCCGTATGGAAATGGATAAATGACAAACGTAACCATAGTCAGTGTTAGAGTGATAGTTCACCCAAAAATGTACAATTGCTCACTGTTTGCTCACCTTCGAGTGGTTTCATATCTTAATGAGATTCCTTAAAGACAAAAAAAGAAAACCTGTAACCATTGAATTCCATAATCAAAAACAAATATTATGAAAGTCAATGGTTACAGGTTTGCAACATTTTTCAAAATATCTTCTTCTGTGTTTAACACAGGTTTGGGAAAAACTCAACGGTGAGTAAATATCGACAGAATTTTACATTTTGGATCCCTTCAATCTATCTTTTTAAGTTGTTTTCTGGTGTTAATTCAGTGTTGTGCGAAGAACTGAATAAAAATAATCCTTTAATATGCTCACTGTAAATATCAGTGGTATAAAAAAGGTACAAATTTTTACAAATTTTACCTAGAACCTGCAGTCAAACATGTTTAAGTACGTAGCACATATTTCCAATGAGCCTGAGGTTGATTTCAGCTGACTCCATGTTGCATTTGATGGCTGTGGGAATTTGAAAATTCCCCCCGTCCAAATCTTGAATGGCACGCAGCGCTAAATCCACCTCTTTCTCTCTTTCATTTTTTGCGTTCAGAATCAGATTAGCGGGAGATAAAGATGTAATTAGCCGGCGTCTGCGACTCGCTAAGCAAGCGGACCGTCATATTCTCTCCGTCCCCCATCTGGTGAACAGGCAGAGCTCATAAATCAAGCTCAGTCCAGGCGCTGACAGAATCCTCTTCAAGGACAGCTGTGCCTTTGAGTCTGGAGCCCGATGTGGAGTCCGATCCCCTACAGGCTAATTAACCGCCACTTAAGAGCACACGGCGAAGAGGCTTTGACGTAAAGCAGCGGTGCGCGACTTAATGCACAACGGCCGCTGCGATGCAACTGTTCACAATGACCCCGCATGAGCGCTGACCGCTCACTTTGCAATGTTAATGCTGTATAGTATAATAGGATAATGTTGCGCTCCCTGAATATGTGCTCCATTATTGCATTTTTAGCCAGCTAAAACCCTGGAATACAAGCGTAAACCACCTCCGTGAAGTTGGCACCCCATAAAAACAAATAATCCCCAAAACTATGCCATTCGTTTGTGCTACGTTTGTGCTGATTTGTGCCGCAAAAACGAACGTTTGTGCTGGTTTGGGGTCTGAGATATTAAGCATTATTTTTTTTAACGTGTGACGTCACTCTCCACCCCATGTTGCGCAATTGACTTCAAAACAGCACAGGTCGTTTGTGCTCGGTTTGTGCTGGTTTGTGCCGTTAAAACGAACACGGTATCTGTTTTCCTCTTTTAGATATAAGCAAAATATTTCGGGAGCCGTGACGTCACTCTCCACCCCATTTCCTCCAAATCGCACAAAACTGGTATCATTCGTTTGTGCTGGGTTTGTGCTGGTTTGTGCCGTTAAAATAAACACTTTATCTATTTTCGTTGTTTAGATATAATCAAAATATTTCGGGAGCCGTGACGTCATTCTCCACCCCATGTTGTCAAAATCACACCAAATGGTCTTATTCGTTTGTGCTCGGTTTGTGCTGGTTTGTGCCGTTAAACTTAACACTTTATCTATTTTTATTGTTTAGATATTGCCTTATCAAAACATTTCGGGAGCCGTGACGTCACTCAGCGCCCCATATTTCCTCTAAATTGCACAAAACAGGTGTCATATGTTAGTACTGGATTTGTGCTTGTTTGTGCCATAACAATTAACACTTTATCTATGTTTATTGATTAGATATTGCTAATCAAAACATTTCGGGAGCCGCGACGTCACTCAGCGCCCCATTATTTCCTCTAAAATGCACAAAACAGGTGACATTCTTTAGTGCTGGATTTGTGCTGGTTTATGCCATTAAAATAAACACTTTATCTGTTTGTATTGTTTAGATATTGCCTAATCAAAACACTTTGGGAGCCGCGACGTAACTCTCATATTGCACAAAACAGCTGTCATTCAATTGTGCTGGTTTTGCCATTTATAAACACTTTATCTGTTTTCCTTGTTTGGATTTAACCAAAATATTTGGTTAGATTTGTGCTGGTTTGTGCCATGAAAAGGAACAACAGATATATATATATATATATATATATATATATATATATATATATATATATATATATATATATATATATATATATATATATATATATATTTGTGCACAAATATGTTACTTTCGTTTGCTCACAAATTGTGCTCGTTTGTGCTGCAAAAACATTATTTGTAAAAAAAATAATATCAGATCATTAAGAGGTCTCTCCACCCCAGTTGCTACATATTTACTAAAATAGTCTCATTTGTGTTATGACATTAAAAAAATTGCAAATATATGACAGAAGATTGTGATACAATATGAGACACATTAAATTCATAGGCCTACTTTCCACTGACTGAAAATCATCCACCCGCACAGTTGGCCTCAAACTAAAATATAATT